ATAATAGGTTCCCTTTAGAGAAAAAGTGGACTGACTTCATTGCATTACATATTTTCAGAGTAATTTATAATCACACAGGAGTAGAAGGGGGTTTGATTCCTAACAGAGCGTAGAGCATATTACAGGTTCAAGGATGCAAAATAAAAGCTTTGGACAGAGAGTAGTTTGCACTTCTTTCTGTTGTTTTCTGCAGGTGTTGGCCACAGACATGTCCAAACACATGACACTGCTGGCAGATTTAAAGACAATGGTGGAGACCAAGAAGGTGACAAGTTCTGGCGTGCTACTTCTGGACCACTATACAGAACGAATACAGGTAACTTGATCAGTAACGTTTGACCCCACAGAGAGAGAATGACATACATAACATTAAATATTCTTGTATGATCGTAGGTACTGAGGAACATGGTGCACTGTGCAGACCTGAGCAACCCCACCAAGCACTTACCTTTATACAGACAGTGGACAGAGAGGATCATGGAAGAGTTCTTTCGGCAGGGCGACAAAGAACGCGAGAGAGGGATGGAGATCAGCGCCATGTGTGACAAACACACTGCGTCTGTGGAGAAAAGTCAGGTAATGCTCTCTCTGACTCACAGCGTCATTAATATAGTGAAGATGTTAAATGTGCACACAGAAAGGATAATGAGCCACAAACAAGCAACTTTAAAGTGTCTATGATAGCAAGGGTGGATAAAACAACAGAAACACAGAGCAGTGTGAAATAACAACCCTGAAATAGACTCTGTTGAATCTTCAATTTATGCTGAGACTCTGAGAAAGTGTTAATGAGCATTTTTTCTGTCTGTGGCAGGTCATTCACAAACACCGCAAATGTGGGAGTTGGTAGTGTGTGGGAAAAGTATCCGATCTGATAATGATAAAATGAACACAAAACGACAAGCAGTGGTAAATATATGCACAAATGCAATTCCGTTTTATTTATATAGAGCCAATTCAGAACAACTGTTGCATCAAGGAGATTTATATTGTAAGATAAAGAGCCTTCAGTGTTAGAAAGAAACACCAAACAATTAGACAACCCCTCTATGAGCAAGTACTTGGTGACACTGGGAAGGAAAAACTCCCTTTTAAAGGGAAGAAACCTCCAACAGAACCAGGCTCAGGAAGCGGCAGCCTCTGATATGACCAATTGCGGGTGAGGGGAGGAAGTGTGCTATGGAAGAGAGCAATCTGGTAGCAACCAAAGAATTGCACACAACACATTTTCCCCTAGCAACCAGCAGTTGCCAGATGGTTACCATTGATTTGGGCCTGATTCACTTGATCCTACAAGATTCAATTAGATTCATTTCAATTAAATTTTATTTATACAGCGCCAAATCACAACAACAGTCGCCTCAAGCCGCTTTAAATTATAAGTTGGACCCTACAATAATAGATACAGAGAAAAAAACAACAATCATATGGCCTCCTATGAGCAAGCACTTTGGCGACAGTGGGAAGGAAAAACTCCCTTTTTTCCTTCCCACAAGATCACACGACCAAAATGGCCGATTGGTTAGCGGTTATGTGACAATAAAGCTTCAGGTGTCAGTATACTGGGTTTTGAAGTCTCAGTTTCAAACCAGTAAAAAAAAAATCAAAATATGTGACAAATGTCCATCAAATGTACAAACTTGGAACTTAGAAATCTTTAAACATTGGCATCTTAGCCATTTGCACAAGACTAGATCAAGAGAAAGTGTGTGTGTGTGTGTGTGTGTGTGTGTGTGAGGCTGTGATTTACACACAGTTGGGGATTGGGCTATTTAAACATGTTTGTTTGGATGGTGGCAATTAGGACAGAAGCCCAGCTAAGATCGTTCCAGTTCATATACTGTGGGGAAACAGATTATTTTTTTAAAAACCACATTTTAGTCGGTGTGTCTGCTTTCTCTCAGAGCAACAGGAAGGAAAGAAAAAACTCAGAGACACAAAAGTCAGTAAGGTTCATCCTCTGGAGACATGAAATTTTAAAGCAGTCCAACTGCTGGCTGCTGAGTGACGTGGAGAGACCAACAAACCTCGGGCCACGACGCAACTAGAATTAAAACTGATAATTGCGTTTTCTATTGCGTTGTGACAGAATGACAAACTGTTGATTGTGCAGCACTTTTATTTGTCCCCCAAAATTTGTCAGCACAGTTAATACTGGAAGAACTTATGCTAAACTCTCAGTCAGTAAATCTGTTTTGGATACGTGTGTGAGAAATGTATTCCTGTGTCAATGTCCAGCTGGAAGCAGCTACAGAGATATGCCTCTTCTGATTTTCATGATGAGAAACAGTAACATCATTCTGCGTCAAGTTTGTGGTCACAGATTCTGCACTTTGTAAAATGGTTTTGTGCTTGTTAATGTACAGCCAGTTGGATTTAGCTCTAGCAAAGGGAAAATACTACTTAAGGGACATATGTTATTTGCTTTCTTTGCCAGGAGTTATTTGAAAGAATTACGTATTACATGGACAATCATCAGTATCAATCATGACCATGAAAACATGGAAATATGCAATAATGCATCAGCGTGTCATTTCACTCACTTTATTATTTACTATAAAGTAGATCAGAAAACCCCGACCCTAAAACCATATTTTAAGCTGTCTCATCATTTGGTGTTTCATGAAGTTCTTTCTTTCTCAAAGCTGAGAATCTGATGTGAACTACTTAAAATGACTAATGTGACCTTGAGCACAGTTTGGGTGAAGACCCATCTGCTGATGATTGAGTGCAACTTTCACTAAAATCTTACCAATACTCTCACGGAGGAGCGATTCTTGTGACTTGTAAGCAGACAGACGACAGATGCCTCGGCACCGTATGAGCTCATCACTCCTTCATTAAAATGAGCTGAATTAAAGGCACCATAGTTGAGTAATGTGGAGTCTTTGGACCAGCACTCTTTTTCAGCCATGGAGATTTCTGCTTAATAAAAGTTTACCAGTGCAGGTTTTACAAATAGATGTACAGACCAAAACCATTTTCTTGGCTATAAACCTTGTGCTGTGAAGTTGGTGATGTTACCATGGGAATTAAATGGATTTCAATCAGCCTCAAGTGGCCGTTAAGGGGACTGCAGTTTTTGGCATTCAAGTGTTGTCCTGAGTTTGCTCTGACTCGTCTCAGATATTTGTCAGATATGGCAGTGGAGACTCACACCGGTGTCAGAGCAGTCTGACTTTTTTTTTGTATAACTATCAACTTAAGCACAACACAGCAGCAAGGAAGTTGGCACCACCTTGTGGCCAAATAAAGCAGCTGCAGTTACAATTTAACAGCAATTGACAGTTTACAGAGTTGAAATAAAAGCACAAGTATCATTTAGGTTTTTGTACAAGTCAAACATACAGGAGACGTGCTTATAAGCATGTCTTACAATATACCTTGAGATAACTGCGGTTGTAAGTTTGTGCAAGCTGAGGCATTGAATAGATAATGTGTGATTTAGTCATTAATGGTTATGGTACATGGAGTTTGTGATGTAAGGACAGAATCAGGCCAACTCAGTTTTTATGCTCAGCTAAGTCAACCATAAGTGAATCAACATATTCTCCAAAGTGTTGACATGTTCCTTTAGCACAACACATTAAAGTGGCTTCGTCTGGTATTTGAAGTATTTTCATCTTCTTTTTCTTTCCCAGGTGGGCTTCATCGACTACATCGTCCACCCGCTGTGGGAGACGTGGGCCGACCTGGTTCATCCAGATGCTCAGGAGCTGCTGGACACGCTGGAAGAGAACAGGGAGTGGTACCTGAACACCATGCCCCAGTCTCCCTCGCCTCCTCCAGACAGACACCTCCAGCACGACCGCTTCCAGTTTGAGATCACTATTGAGGACCTGGAGCAAAACAACCACAACCACATACACATGAGGAACAGCAGCGGGAGGAGTGGCCGGAAAGCCATCTGTGATAACAACGACGAGGACTTAACGCGGGACGGCCAGGTGGAGGCAAACGGAGAGGAGCAGAATCATGCAGAAGATGACAAAGATGAGCAGGAAAATCACAACAGTGAACAGAATGGAGTCCAGGAGGAAGAGGAGGAGGAGGAAGAGGAGGAGCAGGAAGAGAACGAGGCAGAGGAGGTGCAGGAAGAAGGGCAATTAGAAGAAGAAGAAGAAGAAGCACAGACAGAGAAAGAAGAAGAAGAAGAAGCCAATGATGTAGCACAAGAGGAGGAAACAAAAGGGGAGGAGGAAGCTGAAGAAGAAGAAGAAGAAGGCGAGGAAGGGGGAGAGGAGAAGGGAGACTGCGAGGAAGGTGGAGAAACTGCATATGTAGAAGAGGAAATAGATGGAGAAGAAGTAGAAGATGAGAGAGAAGAGGACATTGAAAATGAGGAAGCAGACGAGCAGGAAGCGAAAGAGGAGGCAGAAGTTGAAAAAGAGGAGGCTTTGGAACAGGAGGAGGGGGATGTTGAAGAGGAAGAGGGGAAAGAGGAGGAAGAAGTGGAGGATAAAGCTGAGGATGAGGAGGAAATAAAGGAAAATGTAGATGAGGAAGAGGCAGCAGCAGAGCAGGAGGAGGACGAAGCACCAGAGGAGGTTGAGGAAGAAGTACAAGAGGAAGAGGAGAGCTAGTCAGGTGTAAAAAGGTGAATTCACAGGGTCAGTGAGGAAAGACTGAGGAGAGATGAAGAGGGCCAGAGAGAGGCCACGACGGCAGCAAGTGGGTGTGGAGGATGATAAAGAGCTGATGACGCCCTTCCTTCCAAATAACGCGCTCTGACCACTTTGTCCTGTGAGCATCGTAGCTGAGGAGCAGTTTGTTGTCCTTAAAACACTCAGAGAAACACTGAAAGACCAACCGTACACCGAAAACAAAACCTCTCTGGATCTTCCCAAACGCAACTTGAGGAGCCGGTAGTGACAGACAGACTGGAGGCTTCTTCACCTGGTGTCTGTAAATCCATCACTGCCATGGAGGATGAACTGGGGGGATGATAATGGTGATAATAATAACAATAATAATAATAAAAGGGAAGGGATTTGTTCTGTCGACCTTTTTGTAGCTCCTGGAAATCTAACAAAGCCTGAAATACGCACATGCAAACAAGTGCGTGCCTGTTCTGTTCTTATAGACTACCGTCCGTTGTCTCTCGGTCACTGTCTCAGTCCCGTTGATGAGGAAGATAACATCTCACACACACAGTGAGCATCAAATGCTAAAAGAATGTCAACTTCCTCCGTTTGTCAGAAAACAGAAAAAAAATAATGCAAAAAAAAAAAAAAAAGTCTGGAAAGTGTAGTCTGTCATCTCATATTTACTAGAAAAAAACGTTCCACTTGTGAACAGGAATGCCGAGTACACCTCCAGGGATGTGGTCCAGGAACAGTTTAACCTCGTCACATACTAACCTTAATGCAACAATGCTGGATTTCTGACACTGTCTCTGAGTAATATGTGGACCGTTATAGCTCAGAAGCCTGATCTGTTGTACATGTCGATGTTGGTTAATGTTTTAAAAATAATAGTAATAATAATAATAATAATTAAAGAACACCCAGTATTCATCCTATCATGACAGGTTCACCTGAATCGTGCCAAACCGTCCCACAACCAGCACTGAGCAATTCAGCCTCCGAATGAGGGGGCTACTCGTCACGAAGCAATGAAACTGTGGGACCCGGCCACCAGGTGTGATGGTCTTCCACAAATCCCATTGTTTTATTTTGTTTGATTTGTTTTGATTGTTTGGTTTTGTAAAAAAAAGAAAATGTATTTGGCACTTTATCTAACACCCCTGTTACATATCTGTACATAGTAAACATGTATTTTAATCTGCTGATGTCATATAATAAATACGATCAATGCAGCTGATGGGCTGGAGTTTCTAATTGCACAAGAGCTGAAACAAGAAGCCATTTAAGGAAAAAGGATAAAATTCTTGTTTTTTTTTTTTAAATATATATATATCAATTACCAATATTATTGCCTGACAGACATGTATTGGTATTGGCGTGTGTCTAGCCAAATGTTTTTTAACGCTCTTCCTAATGCGACTCCACAGGGAATTGTGTCTCCTCCTGGGATCAAACTGGACACCTTTTGCTTGTCAGGCTAAATGACTACATGAAGCCATTTTTACAGATGGAAGATGTTTGGAAACAGTGTTCACAGTTTATCCAGCAGTGGATCTCCCACTCTGATACTTGCACAGATCTCAGCACTCTCTGCAGCACAGAGTAGCATGAAGATGGACCAGACCTGGGCTCAGCAACCTTTACTATGAAACACAACTGCCAAACTTTGAAGCCTCACAATGAAGATGACAGGCTCTATTAATTATAAGTTAGCCTATCCAGTAGTTATTTTCTCACATAACTACTCTGCAGTGCGTATTTATCATTACCTGGTTATTTAAATTTGCCTTTTCATTATAGTTATTCTCCTTTTAGTGCATTTTTTATTATTACAGAACTAAAATAAAAAGTTTTTTATATATATATAATTTTACTGTTTTACTTCAGTAACAACTGTAGCTCAGGTGGTAGAGCAGGTCATCTACTGATCGGAAGGTTGGTGGTTCGATTCCTGGCTTCGCCTAGTCTGCATGCCAAATATCCTTGGGCAAGGTACTAACCCCAAATTGCTCTCCGATGCATCCATCGGAGTATGAATGTGTGTGAATGTTAGCTATAAAGCACTTAGAGAGATGTGCTTGTGCGAATGGGT